ATTTAGTTTTTAGATTTTTATTTATTTATTTGACAGTAAGAGAGAGTGAGAGAGCACAAGCAGGGGGAGTGGGAGAGGGAGAAGCAGGCTCCCCGCTGAGCAGGGAGCCCGATGCGGGGCTCCATCCCAGGACCCTGGGAAAGGCAGCCGCCCAACCAATGGAGTCACCCAGGTGCCCCTGAGAAATGAATATGATCATAGTCTCTCTCTCTTAAACTTATATATATATATATATATTTAAGTATATATATAAGTATATATATATTTATATTTTAAGTATATATATATATATTTATATTTTTAAGTACATATACATATATATTTTTTGAGTAAGTTCTTTGCCAACTGTGGGGCTTGAACTAATGACCCTGAGATCAGAGTCGCACGCTCCACCGACTGAGCCAGCGAGTCACCCCTCGTCATCTCTCTCTCAAAGGGTTGCTAGGAAAATTAAATGAGATCATGCGTGTAAAGTACTTAGCATGGTGCCTGGCATATGGCAAGTGATCACACTGTTGTTTTTGTATATTTAAGGGCAGGGATCAACTTTTCTGTGTTGTGGAAGGCTCTCAGCATAGTACAGACTCATATTCCTTTTAGCCGAAGCCATGAAAATAAGAATGAGGAGTTAACACCCAGAGGGAAAGACGGACATCACAGACAGGAGGGCTGGGGAGCTAAAAGGGGGTTCATTCCTAAGTGGTGGGTCCAGACCCTACAGCTGGAAATGTCCAGAGCATGCCCCGGTAATACTGGGAATGTGGGAAGCACCCAAGGGCTTGGTGGCCTGGGCGAGAAATTGCTAGAAGCACTGAAGTGAATCAAGCACTTTGGTCCCTGTGAGAAGGCAGGCCTCCGTAATTCTCCTCACAGTGGCTTCCAGCAGCTCAGGTCGTTGGAACTAAGAGACCCTCCTGGAATTCAGACCATTTTTCCAGGGCCCAAGACTGAACCCTCAGAGGTTTTCTTCCTCTGACTCCATGGAGGACCTCCTCCTTGATGCAGACACACACCCAGAGTCTGGCTTCCAGCCTACAGGATGCGGAATGGGACGCGGTTCTCACTCTCATCCTAGCAGCTGCTATTGGGAGGAATTCGTTCCTAAGATCTACATTGATGCCCCTTCCCAGTGCTGGCAGCTGATCCTCCCTTGCCCCTTCTGGCAAGGAAGAGTTCTGGCTGAGGCAGGTCCTTTCCATTCATTTCGGATGAAATTGCCTATTATCCACAGTGCCTTGACAACAGCTTGACAAAAAAAATGTGACTCTGACAGCACCACGGGCATCCTGGGTCCATGCCAACAGCATGAACCCATTTTCCTTTAATTGGTTGCAGTCAGAAAGCAGCAGTCAGGCTCCGGGGACTCAGGTCTGGTAGGGGGTGGCTGAAGAGCATCGGCTTCGGGCTCTGGCTCAGGCCGAAGATGGCCAGGTAGATGCTTAGTGGGAAGATGGCCTCCCCCCGTGCTTCGGGGTACCACACAGTGGTCCCGCGTCCACAGAAAAGGAGACCATCGGTCACCTCAGGAGAGCTTCTGAAGCTTTGGAAAAGCAGTGTGTGAAAGTCCGCTGAGTTAATGGGGTACTGGACGATGGACCTGACTTTGAATTCTTTGACGGGAGGGGGCCAGGCTGCAAGTGCCCTGGGTTAGCCATTCCCAGGGGGCAGAGAGGGCCCTTTGCACGAGGTACAGAGGTCTGGGAGGGCTCTCTTGTGACAGTCATCTCATCCAACACTCGTTCATTCCACAAATATTTATTGAAGCCCTACTACATGCAGGGTCCCGTGTGGATGGGTACCCAGGGACTAGAACCAAGTAAGAATACTTTCTGGCCAGAGGGAGCTACCCATGTAGTGTAGGATGAGAGGGGCCCTAAATTTCTGGACTGTCCAGTTAGGTTTTTAAGTGGGAACAGGTCTCACTTTACGTTGGCCCTGCCTTCCACTGAGTTCCAACCTTGGGGTTGTGGAACAGGATCCCCGGCGGGCAGCCCCCAGAAGAGTTCTGCACCAGGGGCTAGGCCTCTCACCCCTATGGCCTCCTGCATGCAGAGGGGGGCTCTGCCTGCGCTGTTCCTGGCTCCACCTCTCTGCCCTGCTCCCAGACCACTTTAGCCAGGACCTCTGCAGGCAGAAGAGAGTCTGTGTCCAGTCTTTGGGAGGAAGTGATTAATCAGGGCCACGGTACGTGGTTGTCTCGTTTGCCTACCAGGCCAACGAGGCCAGAGAGGCAGAGGGGGGGCGTGAGCGTGGCTGGATGGACCTGAAATCATCATGTATCCACAGGTGCCCATGTGTCACCCAGAGGATGATTTTCTTTCTAATTAATCACAGGGGGGTGCGTGGCAGAAAGAACATTTATCTAGTTGGCATGAGGGTGCCTCATGTGCCCGTGGGGACCTGTGATTACCAGAAGAAAATAAGAGAACGGGAGAAGCAAAATCATTTCTCTCCATTCGATATAAAGCCAGAGAGGTCAGCCCTGCTTAGGGTCCTGCTGCGCTTATCCTTTTGAAACCCCCCCCCCCAAAACTCACCAGAGGGCATTGCAGGGGATTCGCACCAGCCAAGCCATACTCTGAGGCAACTGGGCAAGTTTCAGAGGGAGAGGCCCCATTTCCCAGTTCCACCCAGAGAGCTGTCCCCTACCCTGTCTGTCCCCTACGTCCCAGGTCATCCAGTATACTATGCACTATGCACGGGGCGCATTGTGTGTCTGCAACCCAACCCCCACCCCCACCCCCTGCTCCCTTCAGCTCTGAGGTCACAGCCAGGCTCAAGAGAAAGGAGTAGACCATATTCAATTCCCGTGACCGTGACCCACAGGAGGCTTCTAAGAAGAGCAAAGGGGAGGCAGCACGACAGGGTCCTAAGCTCTCATCACTCACTGGGGCCCAGGTAGATGAGAGCAGAAGCTAGGGAGAGCACTCGGGGTGTGTGTGGGGGGGTCTGCCCCCAACCAGCGAATCAAGGACACAAGGACACCCACAAAGAAGCACTGAAAAGGCTTATTGGGATAGTAAGATGAATAGATTTAATCATTCTTGTTTGAAAAACAAGACATAAATTAGTATATATATATAATTTATATATTTTATGTAGTATATATACTATATACAGACATTAGAAAATGCGTCCTCTCCGTGAGGCTGAGGGAGAGGTGAAGGATGGCGGTGGAATGACATGGGCGGGGGGCTGAGTGGCGAAGGCGCAGGATCAAGAAGTTGGGAGAAGAGGAAGACCACGACGGCCCTGGGGCTTGTGGTGGTCACAGGGGAAAGGGTTCCCCACTGGCTGCATCTCTGGCCCATTAAACAACTTGGTCCTGGGGGGAGGAGAAGCAAGGAAAGGGGCGGCTGGCTGCTACAGACGGGGCTCCCCTGATCCTTGCCGGGAGAAATCGCCACTTGGGGAGGGGAGGGGGCTTTATTGCGCTGCAGTGGGCGGGGGAGTACTGGGGATGGGCAGGGGTTAAGCACAGTGTACATCTTTATAAAACTCACATAAGAATGAGAGATTTCACACGGACCTTTCACGTAATGGTGAAAGAGAGGCAGACACAGGGCGTGAGCGTGTGGCAAACGGGGGAAGGCATGGAGAGGTGGACAAGAAGCAATCTATACAGAATAAACATTGGCTTTCTTTGTTCCCTACAGTGTGGGACAGCTGGTAGGGACTCCGTGTCTTCACTCCCAGGAAGGTTGTGGGGGACTGGGGGGGATTGGTGGGGGTGGGGGGTGGCGGCAGCAGTAGATGTGTGTCAAGGAGAATGCTAAACAGTGTGAATTCC